AATTGTTTGTATAACAATTTAATCGCTTTTAGATATGGCTTGTTACTCCCATATATATTTATTGTGCGGACTTCATACTAAACCGGACAAGGGGTGTCCGGATTTGCTTTAAATCGTCCAAGAGGCTACCGGATTTCATCTAAACCGGTTGAGTGTTGACCGGATATCACCTTAAAACCGCCCAAAGGTTAACCAGTATAAGTCGTAAACCGCCCAAGAAGCAATCGGATTCCCTTTAAACCGCTTGAGTATCAACCGGATTTCCCTTAAATCGGCCAAGGGATGTCCGGATATGTCTAAATCGCTCAAAATCGATTGTCCGGATTACCAATTTTTGGTTCTAAGTGATTGTCCGGATTGCATATCCGGACAATGATGTCCGGATTTCCATATCCGGCTAAATATTGATTAAATTCCCTTACGAGAGAGATGTAATGGCGGTGTAACCGCGAGAGAGATGAAATGGCGGTGTAACCGTGAGAGAGATGAAATGGCGGGGTAACCGCGAGAGAGATGAAATGGCGGTGTAACCGCGAGAGAGATGTAATGGCGGTGTAACCGCGAGAGAGATGAAATGGNGAGAGAGATGAAATGGCGGTGTAACCGCGAGAGAGATGTAATGGCGGTGTAACCGCGAGAGAGATGAAATGGCGGTGTACCCGCGAGAGAGATGAAATGGCAGTGTAACCGCGAGAGAGAGATGAAATGGCGGTGTAACCGCTAGAGAAAAGAGATAAATATTTATATCTGTACAAGTTTGATTCTAAACTGTTGGTTTGGAAAGTATATTATTTGTGTGAAATGTGTACACTCACTAGACCTATTGGGTCTAACGCTCAGTTATTGGACTAACCTGTTTTGCAGGTCATCATATCTCGCAAGATAAAGGCAAAGGGAAAATTTAGAATTGATGAAATTAGTTGCTCATAAATGTATTGAAGAAAGTTTTTGTTAGCACGTGTTTTGTAAGCAATACTATATTTTGTTTTATGAGAATGTGTATGTGGATTATCTGTACATGGAAATTGTGGGATGTTACAGATAAATAGATCAACCTTCCAACTAGCTGCTGTTGCAAACCTGTATCAACGCGGGGTTCCATCTATTGTTTCCACAAGCTGAGCATATTAGCCTCTATTGGAGTTTCTGACGGCTTGCAACCACTCATTCCAGTTTCTTTATAGAGTCCAAGAATATATTTCGTTGATAAACCACGATCATATTTTCTGATCTTGCCACTTACATTCAAACAAAGTTCCTTAGTTGGCGCAAGTCTTTAATTTCAAATTCTACGGCCAAACTCTTCTTCAATCTGTCCATCTCTTCTATATTCATGATGAAGCCATCCACCTAGACGATAAAATTGTGAACCTTTCAAACCAGGCTTTTGGGGATTGTTCAAGTCTGTAAAGGGATTTTTAGTTTACCCACTTTACCTCCAAATTTTGTAGTAAAACCCAGCGTTTGCTCCATATATACATCTTCCTTTGAGTCTCCGTTCTATTATGGATTTTTCACATATAGATATAGTTGGACAAGTGGTCGGTCGAGATTGGCAGCAAGAGATAAGAGTACCCGAACTGTATTCAACTTCGCCAACGGTGAAGAAGTCTTCAAGTAGTCCACAACATAGCTCTTAGTAAACCCTTTGGCTACTAGGAGAGCTTTGCATCTTTCTAAGATCTCATCGAAGTTGTACTTTAGTGTAACTACCCATTTGCAACAAACAACTTTTTTGCAAATCCATTTTCTCCCAAGTCGCTTCTTTCCAATAGGGAATATTTCCTGAATGTTATTAGGAATGGATACTACCCTTCTTAATAAGATAACAAAATTTGACAAGGGATGTTTTGTACATGATCTACTACCTTTCCTTATAGCAATGAGGAGATGAGGATGGTTAGAAGGATACGACTCAAAAGCACCTCAGAATATTTTCAGCATATTTGAGAAGTTATCATCAACCTCATGATATAATCTCTGCCAGATTCTTGGTGATGCTACGGAATGGTCCCTCTCTTTTTTTGTGCTAGATGTTCCTCCTTTGAATATAAAAATCCAACGATTTTGATTTTTTGTCATTTTCTATAAAAAGAGAAAATCATCTTTGAAAATTTTGATTGATAAATCAAAACCATCTAACAGACCAGCTTCACTAGTATTGTTCTCAGCTCCTGAAGTTGGGAGTTGTAATATGGGATTCCTTCAAACTTGGTGATATCCATAGACACAAACACCTTTTTCAAAACTTGATTAGAACATTTGTAACCCCTCTACTTATTAGGATAGCCTACAAAAATACATTTATATGTTTTTGGATCAAAATTTGATTTTTTTGAACCATGATTATGAACAAAAGCCATGCTTCGAAATAGATATCCGCTATAAGCCAAAATTTTGGAGAATACTCTGTAAAAAGTAAAAATCTGTATAACCCAAAATTTTGAAGGTGATCAATTTAATAAATAAGAAACTGCTAAAACTGCTTCCCCCAAAAGATATTTCGGCACCTTAGTTTCAAAACTTATGTGTATAAGGACACGAACTTTGGTGGATAGTACCTTTTTTCAACAAAAAAATCCCTTAACACCAGGTTAGAATTTTTTTTCCCGTTATCGCATTGATTTTTTTAGTTTGAATCTAAAATTGTGTTTGAATAATGTTATAAATATTTTGGAACACGGTAGATTTTCTTTTATACAGAATACCCTAGTGATTCTAGGATGATCGTCAAGAAATGTAATGAACCAACATGTTATTAATATCACCCTTGAAGGATCCCGAACATCACTATGAATCATGGTAAATGGTCTCGACTTTTTAAATGGTTGAGATGGAAAGATAGCTCGATAAAGCTTTGCAAATTCACAAGTTTCAGATTGGAAAACTGAGTGACACTTTTCCATGAATAGCTTGGGAAAGAAAAAAATTTAAATATTGAAAACTTGGATGTGATAATGCCATAACAAAATTTCCTTAGTAATCGAAAACAAGTAGAATTGAAACAAGTTTTTGATCTTGCCTTCCAAAGGTTGATCCTTAATTAAAGAGGTAGAGTCCACCATCCTATTTAGCATCCCCAATCATCTTCTGTGAGGTTAAATCCTGAAATTCACAATGAGAAAACCAGATATTAACCCAACAACTATGATCAAGGAGAAATAGGCAAGGTATGGAAGGTTAGAACATGCAAAACATCTTTAAGATTTAAAGGAGAAATAGGCATTGTTCTATTCCAAGCAAGAACAGCAAAGGAACCATCAATAATTTTTACTTTTTGATTTCCTACACAGGGTGTATAATTATGAGCTTCCGCTCATGATCAGTGGCTCTTGAATCTAACACCCAGACCCGTTAGACTTGCAATACGCAATGATTGGAGTGAAAAGATGGGCTAAAGAGCACGATGAATTAGATTTTCCTACGGTTTGAGGTTAAAACATTTTGTATAAATGCTCCAATTTGTTCCTTCTGGAAAAAGGTTCTGTAAATGATTGCAGTTGTGAATCTCAATTGCCAAGCCAAACCGAATGGACCCAGTAAATCCTATGTAGAGATAGCCCACGGGCAAGCTGTACGCAACCTTACCGTTACCCTAAGGGATAGAGAGGTTATTTCAGTGAAGGCCACCGACTTGAAATACATGGATCTCTCCCCCTGATTTGTTTTCACCACCTTTAGTTCTTCCACCCTTTCAGTTTCCAACATGTTTCACGAGTATGTCATGGCTTTTAACAATGGTCACACCCAAGCCTTTGTCTCCTACGTCTAATGGCAAGACCAGATCCCACAATTTGGTTTTTTCTCCAAATGTCATCATCACTTGTCATCTATGCACTTCTAGAAACACTTTGCACATAGTTGGCAAAGGTTTTCGTCCTAAAATCTGTACTCTAACTTCATCAAGTTCTGCATTCAAACCATCCAAGAAAACAAATGCGACCTTCTATCTCATTTTTGTACAAAGTGCTATCATTAGGATTTCCCATTTTTTTTGAAGATGTCTAACTCCTGCCAGACAACCATCATCTACTGTAATAGGCTGTCACTTCATGTATACCTTGCTGCATCTTCCATATTCGGGTGTCAGTTCAAACAACCAAACTTGGATATGTTCCCCAAATGGCTTCCTAGACATTATGAGTTCTGAGCATGAATATGAATGGTTTTCCAATAGTCGGACCTATTAAATTGATTAATCACGTTGTAACCATCGGATTTTCAAATAGATTGAGACCACTTAAGATAAATTTTGCCATTTATTTGTGAATGGAAATTTGGAGTGAATTTTTCTGCCATTGGTTGGTTACCACATCATATATTCCTTCACCACAACTAGCAAATTTTTCTACAAAGGGATTTATTAGTGGTAGATAGCAAGGAATCATTACCAAGATGGGAATGGATATACCTCTTCACCAGCTTGAGGGGTGTCAAACACACAAGACTTTATCCTTGAGGGTGGGAAGCATTCTTCTCCTTGACTAACGGTCAGTCAACACTAGGAATCTTGTTAATATTCTCTTTCCTATAAGTTATCTTGTAGATATTATGTTAGATTGCCATGTCTTACGTAGTCTGGTTTTTATTTTGGAACACCTCATATAAATAGTCCATTAGTGGCACTTGTGAATTATGAGAAATACGAATTAAATTCTCTCTTTTTCTACAACAGCATGAAAGCATCACTAGTGTGGAAAGTAGGCCAACAATAAACAGCATAATATAGTTGGCTGCTTAAGAACATCATTTTGTTATATCATAGCACTGTTATATGTATAAAGAGATATGCTGGTTGTTACCTTTTCTAAAAGCAGTTGTTACCTTTTCTAAAAGCATTTCTCACCTGTGATATGATATGCACACAAAGATGCTTGTGCTTGTGTGTTGGTGATCGGAGAGAGAGGGCTTAGTGTCTACACGTTCAAAATGCAAAAGAAAAGAAAAGAAAAGAAAATGCTGAATACTGTAGCAAAAGTATTAGGCAACGATTATTTGACCTGTTGAGCTAGCACGAGGCGACCTTCACATTTACCAGAAGTTGCAGCAAGAATTGGATATGTATAGTCTCTCAGCTGAACAACAAGAGATCCTGCCTGCAAACTAAGGTTAGATCCATAAACGCGAGCAAATGGAATGTTACATTCTCGAGCAACCGGATCAAGTTTCTGTACAACTTGTATCATTCCTGCCTCACCACCTTCAATTGCCGTCAAGGTTATATCAAGCATGGTGCCAGTAATGGAGAAAAGTGAGGTTCTTGATGTGCTAAACTTGAACCCGGACTCGAATCCTTCCTGGCAGGCACCTGATCCTTCTGATATCACACGAGCCTGACATGCTTCGTAATAAGTGCGAAATGAATTTTTATAGAGTTCCTCTTTCATTTTGTCAACAGATGATGCATCATGCACACATGTTTTGTCTTGAGCATCAACTTGGGACTTCCCTTCATTATTAGGATCATCAGCATTAGCAGCTGCAGAAGATTGGCTCCCTTTGGAAAGAAGCTCATCAAGAAAGTTCAATCTAACTGCCATTTCATGAGCAACATTCTTCCTTAGGTAATAGTGTTCATCAAGCCAGCCCTGTAATGGTTCCTCCTCAATTTCAGCAGTTAACTTACGTATAAACAACTTCACACGACCAAGTTTTGAAGAGCTGGGTTTTTTAGGTTTTGCGCTTGCACTGCCACTGCCACTCTCACTCTCACTCTCCTTTTTGCATGGAAATATTATTTTCTTTTTAGCAGCAGCAACAAGCTTTAAAGCTCGCAACATTTCCTCGATAGAATCATCAAGAGCACGCAACTGTAATCTAAATGGCAAGCAAATATGTATATCAAGGCCTTGAATCACATAATCCCATTTAACAGCTGGATCAGAAGCATTTGGAATGCGGGAAAGTTGCATCCTACCACTTTTGAACACTCTTGTTGCATTGAAACTAAGCATTAGTCCCTCAAGAAGTACACCTATGCGGGCATTTTCAGAAAAAATCGACTGAACCTGAATCATGGTCTCAACACCATCTCCAGCTTCGGCAGTTACAGTAAGCATCTCCACATCAACGGCAAAAAGAGATTCTTTCTTCTTTTGATTCTTTTCTGACAGTATTGCATCCCCAGAGGGTTCTTTCTTAACTTCATTATCTTTACTACTAGATTTTACCTCCTCTCGTTCCTGAAGCTTATGATTGTGCATGATTAGCTTAAGCCGTAACACTAGTTCAATTAGTGCTAAATGAACATCAGGCTCCCATCTGGCTGTAATAGTAGTGGCACTGAAAAGAGAGCAAACAGATACCTCTTTAAGGCTACTGGTTTGCTTTAAAAACTTTGCTTTCTGCATGTCAAATAATGCCACTTTTGTGCCACAACTCTCATCTTCCATAATTTCCTGATATAGCGATCTTACCCTGTCAAGCTCCACCTGAGTCGACTGTTTCTCTTTATTCAAAGCCAAACACAAACGAATAATCTCAAGCCCTATGGAGTACTTTACCGTCTTGTACTCATCTGAAGCTGTCGATGCTACTTTTGCAATACGTGGAGTACCATCCTGTAAGACGGTAATAAGAACACGACCACCTTGCGATCCGTAATTCACACGTTTCGGATCGTCAACAACTTCATTATCCAGACTTGCATCACCACATAGATTTACTGAAAACCGTTCAAGATTAAATTTAATTAATTGGATCCCTTTACCTGATGATTTTTTTGGAGGCGCTGCCTGACTTTGAGCGGATGTTTTAACAGACGGAGATGGACTTTTCAGTAACGTCTTGAACAACAAAGCAGTAGATAATAAGCATTGCACACGCTTGGATGTCAAGCACAAACCGATGCTAGTTACATCAACAGAGAGTACTGATTTTAAGTTGGAAACATCTTGTTGAACTGAATCTGTGTCCTTTTTGCCAAAATCCAGGATAACCTTTGCTATATGGAGAACTGCAACCGTATTTGTTTCCACAATGAAGAAGCTTGGTTTCAAACATTCTTGATATTCATCAGCCACTTGCAAATTCAAAGCATCAAGCTCGAAGTGAACTACAGTGCCTGTACTAGATGTGTTGTTGGCAAAGAGATGTGATGACTGCAAGCAACCCTGCAACAAAAATGAAAAAGGAGATGCAAAATAAACAGTAGCTTAACAACTAAAAGCACAAAAGGTGCAGAGGAGAGGGTACTTGAATAATTTTCTTTTTCATGTTATATTAAACAACATATTAATTAGCATGTTATCTCTTTAAGCTATCACTGGACGACATCAGCTTCCAAATATCTAACTATAGGCAGAAAGCACATACGAATTACCAATCTACATGTAAAGCCAGCTGTATCAACTATAGTTTCACTTTTTATCATGATATTTCTTCCAGTAACTCCAAGAAAGTATAAGCCCAATTGTAATATCTTAACTGGCCAATTATTTATTTCCTTTATTTGATAATTAGCTTTATTTAGATAGCTATCGATTATATTCTGCTACACATAGGAAATTTTGTTAGATTTAATTTGATGGTAGGTTCCTAGTTTTAAGGACTTTGTAAAAATTTTGAGAACCCGGGAACTAATTATTCATGTTGCATTCTTTATGAATATTGTGAAAGATATTCATGATGAAAATTATCCACAGTAAAAAAAACATTACATTCATGATAAAACTTGCATGATATTCATGATTACTTAGGGTTGTTCATCATGAATAGTACATGAAATAGTTTGTTCCTAGGTTTTCCTTTGAACTTTTCCCTATATATACACATATACATATATAGATATATTTCCTATGAGCAGTATGTATAATATACAAGCCTTATAATCTTCAGAAGTACTCTTGTTCTATTCCTTCCTCATGTTTACCGGATTTTATGGTATCAAAGCTGGAAAATAAATTGTTGTAGAATGATGGCTTCTTCTGAATAAGCAGGGTCCTTGATTTGGAGACTTCGATCACCAATCCAAACCCTAATATTGTTCATACTGCTGTTTCATCGTCTAATCCATCATCTCTCCAAAACAACTCACAGATTAAAGGAAAGAATTTCCTGCAATGGTCAAGATCGATGAAAATTGTCACTCAGAAAAGGTAAGATTGGCTATCTGGATGGGAGCCTTTTTAAACCAAAACCAATGATCAGTAATTTCAATTGTGGGACATTCAAAATTTCCACTCATATTTCACGGATACATCTCAGATACATGAGCTTCGTGCTTGAATTATGGGGAAAGAAAAATTGGATGTCATACTCATACAGTATTTGAATGCCCTGATTAAGTTGTGGCAAGATATAGATCATGTTGAATCCTGTAACTGGAAAGATCCTGTATATGCAACGGTTTACACAACCAATGCTGGCAAAAGAGCAAATCTGTGACTTTCTCGCTGGGTTAAACCAAGATCTTGATGTGGTTTGGGGTCATCTTTTCGGTACCAAACTAAGAGTACAAATCGATGAAATTAGAATTATGGATGATTCCTCTTCTATGGTTGTGGACGTTGAGTCCCAATATATATCTAAAAGCAGCTCTTCATGATCCAAAGTTGTCATGCAACTTGTTATTTATTAGCAAGATCACAAAGGACTCGAGATGTGTAGTAAATTTCACTCCATGTACTTGTATATTTCAAGACCAGACCTCAAGGGTCGATTGGGAGTACTAACGAATTCGGTGGGCTGTACTATTTGAAGATCCAAGTTATGCATGTTATAAAATTATGCTTCATCATCATAGATTAGGGGTCATTCGAGCTTTGTGTATTTAAAACAACTGTTTCCTTGTTTATGAAGCGCCATCACTTGCTAGTTCGCAAAACATAAATGTGGTCATTAATTGAATGTCGTCTAGAGTTCTTCACTTCAAAACCCCCATACACACATTTTCCAACTCACTCCTTGATTCTCGTTCTTTTACCTAGTTAGACCACTTTGGGTTTGTTCATAATACAGAATACAGATCATGGCCGAGGTAAACTTCATCTCAGATCTTACAAATGTGTGTTTCTAGGCTATTCCACAACACAAAAGGGATATTGATGCTATTCACCAGAAAGAAAAGACGTTTACATTTTTTGAGGATCAGCCATACTTCAGAAGAACAGATATTCAAAAGGGAAACCTCCATTTTCTGGTCTAGTGATATGGAAAATTCAAATTCTAAAATTCCAAATATGTGAACCAACCAATTATATCCAACATCCTGATCCTACTGCCCTATATTCACAGCACTCGACAATCACCACACCAATAAATCACTATTCCATCTGTCAGTGTCACTGCCCATCAACAAGCAATCGGACAATCAAGGGGAGGATACCAAGAATGATCTAAATGATTTTAGTGTTTAAACAGCAGATCTGACAAGTAATGGAAATGATTTAAACAAACTCTTGGGAAGTTCAGCATAGTACAACTCTACCTAATTCTGAATCCTCTCAATCAATTATGGAACCAAGAACAGAACAAACAGCAGATCTTTTGACTAAGGAACTGTGAACCAACATCTGAAAAGCTAATTGGCAACTTGGGGATGTTCAATCTATATAGTCTAGATTGGGGGGATCATATTATTCTTTATTTGATAAGTAGCTCTAAATTATTTAGATAGCTATTAATTATATTATGCTATATAAATTTGTTACATTTTATTTTATGATAGTTCCCGGTTTTAAGGGATTTGATTTGTTATCCTTAATTCCTTATAGATATTGATATTCCTAGGACGCAGTATGTATAATACACAAGCCTAATATTCTTCAGCAATGCGATTATTCAATTCCTTCCTAGTGATTACCGGCTTTTATAATATCTGCAACTAGAACCCAAAACCTTGAAAGTAGCCATGCCTTCAAGGATGTCAGAATTGCTTACAAGTTTTATAAATTTTATGATCATTCACTTGCCTAATTGAAAAGAGTTCATGTACAATTGCTAAAATGCATGTATTCTAGATTATTAGAAATAAAAAGATGTGATATCACATGAATTTCCAAGACTATAGACAAGAACACTGTTTATCTTTTTATTTGATGAGTTTCTTGTATTTGCTGTAAACACACAAGACGCCTTCACGTCAATTTCCTTTTTTATGAATTTTAACATCAAAGTATTGCATCCATAATCAGGTGTGGCACTTTTCAAGTAAGCAAGCAACAAGAAGGGTCAACCTAGAGGCTGACTGCACTATCATGGAAGAAAAAAATAAGTAGAACCATGACTCAGTAAACCACTTACATGATAAACCGGCGATCCATCCAAATTATAAACTGAAATGGTTGTCTCTGGGGATGCAAATGTGCACGTCCACATAATGATCTTGGAATCATCACTTGACTGGACCTTTACTGGATTGGCACTTTCGTCTTTTGGCGCTGTCTTTTTCTTCTTTGAGGGACGCAACTGCATCAATGGCTTTAATCTTGCCATAAATATGTTGCACTGTGTGCCTCTGAGCTTAATATCGATTTCGGATTTGATAGGCGAAGTAGGCTGAAAAGGCAAATCAGTTTATACGGTAAAAATTGGTTCTCATAGAGCTAAGAAGTCTATTAGATTCAGCTAATTAAAAGTTGTAATATACACATGAATGACCCCACAACGACGAAGAATATTCCACATTGAGATAAAAGATGTCCTAGTATACGCAAATAGTAATAGAACTTAAGTGCAAGCTTCTGCAAGAATTCATGCTGGTTAAACTTTTGTATATACATGCTTATTTCCAGTGTTTGAAGTTAACAAAGAATTCATTGACAACAAAATTTATAGGAAACCAAGTAGAAGCAACATGTGGGGAGCCCTGTAAAGACACATTGCAATTCCATTGGTCAAAACTGCATACCGATATTTGCTTCTTTGTGGATATAAGATAAATAATTGTTTATCAGCTCATCAAAATATTCAATAACAATTCATTCAAAAAATTGTGCATGATACTCTCACAAACATAAGTTCCAGATAGTTTCTTGCTATCTAAGGGGGTACTATCAAACAGTTAAATATCCACCTAATTAGGTTACATGACAAGAAGAGAATAACTATATAAAGCACGTATCAATCAAAGTGCCACCTAAATGATGATAAAATAAAACACGCTTCTTAAAGCAGTATGTGAAACACTTATGAACTTACCTGTAACGGAATGTAAACAAATGAAATAACACCAAGATTCAGTATATCAAGAACAGAACTTCCACCATCTTTAAGAAGCTACAATATAACAAAGAGGACAAAATGAGACGAGATTAAGTATGATATCGAAAAGACAAGAATGTGGTGTTCCCTCCATACATGAATCTCGCTGAAATCTAATTGAAGATCAAGACGTGTGCTTTCTCCAACATCCTCAATAGACTGAGACTTTATGCTCTTAAACTGAAAGGCCATGATGCTATTCTCCATGACAATGTGGTGCTCTTTATGTACAAACTTCACATCCAACTTTGGCAAAGTGAGGGAAACCTAATACACAGATATAGAAATACTTGGCATACAAACGCCATAATCATAAAAGTTAACAAATAAAAAGATAACTCAAAATCAAATTCAAATCAGAAGGGGCACAGGGGAGGTAAGAGGAAGATGATAAATCCAGAAGTTGTGTAAAAAGCACTCACTTACCTTTTCCGGGAACAAAGAAGTGTACTTTGTGATGGCCGAAAGTGCAGCTTGTTTCTTTTGCTGCTTCTTGGCAACATTAGAATCAGGGGTGGGTTGTGCAGGTTCATCAGCATGAGTGTCAGATGACTTCTGCTTTTTAGAAATCGTATCCTCATTTAAGTCGACATTAATTTCTCCCAAAGATATGTCAATGTTTTTAACAATGACACCCATTTCTCTGCAAAACAAAGTAAACAATTACAAAAGAATTGGAAATTTGGAGCGAAAGGGGGTTACTAGAGTAAAATTAAACAACAGAAAACAAGACCATTGGCACCCCTCAGTTCATCAAGATAGATACACATCTCAATATGCTTACACTTAAGTGGAATGGGCTAAGATTCCATGGTCAGATATAAAAGCGTACTTCAGATCCTCCATCAATTAAAGTTGTGTGCGCTAAAAAGGGAATGAAAAATAAAAGGCCCACTTATTAAACTATTTTCGAAAAATAAATTATAGGAAACTATATCCTTCAATCCTGTCATTAGAAGCTCTTCATCATCTAAATAACTACCAAAGGCATTAAGGCACTTCAATCCTTGTCTATCTATACGACAACTTGTTCATTATCAATTCTGTTGCACTTGTTTTGTGTCTGTTATGTTATTTGGACAGCAAAACCTTTTGCCTCATAAACCATAGCACATCCGGTAAACATATACGCCATTCAGCTCCAATATATGTTGTCATTTCATCCACCATGATCTTCTTATGTAACTAATATACTCATCAATTTCTTTTCCTTTTTGAAAGATCAACCCAAAATACTAAAGGATTTGCTTTCTAGGAACTTCTTCTTTAAACATCTTTAAGATATCTCCATCTTCTCAATTTTATCCTGGGATTTGTACTTTTTATTATAATTTTCCTTGAGTTTTACATGTGTTTTACTACAAAAGAAAACTAAGGATCCGTTTACCAAATGCTTACGGACAAGAGTCACCTCCTTACTTACCTTATCAGTAACATTCTCGGCCACCAAATTTATTGTTGGTAAGCACCTTTTACCCGGTAAGCGTCTAACAAGGTAAGAGTCTTTCCACTCACTTACCAGGCAAGACACTCAGTCCTTATGTAGCCTCTTACCAGGTAAGATCCTCGTTCTTGCCATGTTCACACGATAAAGTAACTGACATCCAGTAAGTGCTTACCGGGAAAGTGCTTCTAAGCGGCCCCTAGGCCTCTAATTGATTACCATATATTTCTTGATATGTGTTTCACATGTGACATCCCGTTCCCGGGTATCGTCCTTTGCCCTTAGTAGAAGTGAATGAAAGAAAACTTCATATCTTAAACTTCCATTCCATTATAATAGAGTTAATACAACAGCGGAAGATGCTGAAAATTTACAACTTATAATATACTAACATCTTAGAATAGCAATACTTCAGCTTACTCCTACTCCTTGATTCCTGAGATGCATACATGAATATGTAAGCTTTAAGCTTAGTGAGTAGTTATGGTTTCATGATAAAACATTCTATCCAACTAATTAAAATAATTCTTATAAACTTTCATGTATAAAAACATTTCTTTGAGATCTCATAGTTACATGTTAAGTAACCCAACTTCTCACAGGTTCTTAAACCTCGGGTCCACATACGGGCTGCCCAATAAGGTTCGTTTGCAAGACGTACCTTCTTTCCATATCCCATACGTTGGATATTTAAATGTTTGCACTTAACATGTATAAAAACTTTCATGCCTTGTGTACATACATGTATTGTAACATGCAAACTCTTTCATGCCTAGGTGTAAAACACATACTTGTATCAAAACATGTCAGCATGCATCTTTTGTATAACATTTTCACGTAAAGCAAACATGCCAAAATATCTTGTAATGCATAAAATACTTATATGTAGCATGTATGTACCTCCTAAATAACTCACTTCTTAGTCTTTATTATGCTTTAAGGTAGTATTACAATCTTGGGATGGAAAAGAATGAGCCCCTTAAGCTTCTATTTATAGGGTGTAAGGTATGTTTTAAGGTACTTGTTCACTTAGCTTTTCAACTTGTAAGTTTCTAAGGATATGCCACATGTACTTGTTCATTCTAGTCTCGCCTTGTAATGCTTTTAGGGTTGCCACAAACTCCTTTTCTCTTACAACTCATTCTTTAGGCTTGCTTTCTCATAAGAATTTTTGTGGCTCATGTTGTTTGTCTTTAAGCAGCTTAGTAAGCTACTTATGTGCTTATTGGTAAGTAGCTTTGTAAGCTACTTGTATGCTTGCTTACTAATTGATTAATATTTTTTTAATAATGTTATTTACTTTGTTTTAGTTCTTATATTAAGGGCCTTTAGGAACAACTTAACTTTATAAGAAATTATGATAAAGACATGTATATATCTATATATGTGGCTGAAAACTAGGGCTGTTACAATTCTTCCTACCTTTTAAAGATTTCGTCCTCGAAAAGGTGTGGGTACTTATTTCGGATTGTCGACTCTACTTCCCATGTTGATTTTTTTTTTTTTTTTGATTAACCTGGATATTCAACCCGCTATGCTTTGCATATAGCCTAGAGTCACTGCATTTGAACCTCCGCGGCCACAAGGGGATTTTTATTCCTCCTTGGGTTTGAACCTGGGACCTCCTGGTACATTTGACCTTTGGAGCCAAACTCAAACCAATCAGGCACCACCCTTGTGGTTACTTCCCATGTTGATTCTATCCCATGGTGACAGTCCCATTGGACTAAGACTAAGGACACCTTTTTATTTTGAAGCTTCTTAACTTTACGTTCCGTGACGGCTATGGGCTTTTCTTCAAAATTGAGTTTGTCATTGACAGTAATTTCTTCAACCGGAATCACGACATCCCTTTCGGCAAGGCATTTCTTTAAATTGAGTGTTGTGTATTCCATTCAATTTTTTTGGTTGTTCAAGTTGATATGCTACTTCTCCTGTCTTTTCAATTGCCTTATAGGGCCCAATATATCATGATCGTAATTTACCCTTTTAGCCAAAACGTAGAACCCCTTTCCAAGATGATACTTTTAGTAATACCATGTCACCTGGAATTCAATAGGCTTTCTTCTTTTGTCAGCATAGCTTTTCTGCCTGTCTTCTGCGATTTTGAGTCTTCCCCTTATTGGTGTAACCTTATCCCCAGTTTGTTGGATAATTTCGGGTCTAGCTACTTGCTTTTCGCCAACTTCCATCCAACAGATGGGTGTTCTACATTTCCTTCCATATAGAACTTCATATGGGGCTGCCTTGATGCTACTATGGTAATTGTTGTTATAAGCTAACTCGATAAGAGGTAGATGGTTATCCCAATGACCTTTCAGGTCAATGGAACATGCGCGTAACATATCTTCTAATGTTGGAATTGTCCCTTCACTTTGACCATCAGTTTGAGGATGATATGACGTGCTCATTTTAATCTGTGATCCCAACTGTTTTTGGAAACCCTTCCAAAAATTTGAAGTAAAACGACGATCTCGATCCGACACAATTGATATTGGTACGCCGTGTCTCGAAACAATCTCGTCAATATACATTTTGGCTAATGTTTCTAAGGTTTGTGTTTCTCTTATAAGCAGAAAGTGTTGTCTTGGTTAATCGATCAACAATAACCCATATAGCATCAAAACCTTTTGGTGTTTTTGGCAACCTTGTAACAAAGTCTATAGTGATATGTTCCCATTTCCAAACAGGAATGTCTAGCGGCTGTAACTGTCCATAGGGTCTTTGGTGTTCAATCTTAACTTTTAGACAAGACATTTTTTGACGTAATTAGCCACAGACTTCTTCAATCCTGGCCACCAATACAGAGTTTTTAAGTCTTTCTACATCTTATAGGTTCCAGGTGGACTGAATACTTGGATTTGTGTGCTTCATCTGAAATTACTTCTCTACAGTTGCCTATTCTTGGAACCCAGATTCGTCCTTGAAACCTTTTGATTCCTTTATCATCAGTTTCCAATAATTTAGCTTGCCCGAAAATCCTTTCTCCCTTCTGATTGTCTTGCTTCAATGCTTCCTATTGTGCTTCTTAAACCTTTTCCAACAAGGTGTTTGTAGCCAGCAATTTAACGCCTTAATTTGCATGGGTTTAGTTGGCTCTTTTCGGTTTAAGGCATCTGCTACAATGTTAGCGTTCCCTGGATGGTATTTAATTTCACAATCATAGTCGTTTAGTAATTCTATCCAACGTCTTTGCCTCATATTTAATTCTTTTTGATTGAATAAATACTTGAGGCTTTTATGATCCGTGTAGAGTACACATTTTGTACCATACAAATAATGCCTCCAAATTTTCAAAGCAAAAACTACGGGAGCCAATTCTAGATCATGTGTTGGGTATCGTTTATCGTGTTCCTTTAATTGGCGTGATGTGAAGGCAATTACTTTTTTTGCATAAGCACACATCCCAAGCCTTATTTAGATGCGTCACTGTACACTGCAAAGGCTTCTATTCCCTGGGATACTAATTAATTAGTTGCTTCACTCTTATATTATCTATTATTATTTTATCATAGTGGATTTTCAATCCCTTCTATGTCTCCTTTGGGCAGGGAGTCTATAGTCTCAGGCAAAGAAGTTCCTAATAACATGGTTGGCATAAGCCAATTCTTCTTGTAATCGGACAACTTGGGTCTGGGTTTGATTTAGGAGTTGGAGAGCTCTTTCTGTCTCTTTCTTTGATTCCCTTAATTTATCTTCCACAATTATAGTGTACAATCAGATCCTATGTGCTTCCTCTTGTGCCATTGCGCACTGATGGTTGCTCTCAGTTAATTGATCCAATAAGGCATTGAAGTCTGCTTGGGTCACGATCCGGGAAATTTTCTCCTACTATGCCCGATGCAGCTTCTAGTATAGCTTCTGAGGGAGGGTGCACTATGTGAGGTAGAGATGTAATTTCTTGCTGCCAATACAGGTCCTCCCATGGGTATGGAAATATAGTGTGGTTATTTGCATCAGAGGCCTCAGAGTTATTTATAGTTGCATTAGGATTATTTAGTGGTTCCACTGAGTTGTAATATGGAACTATTTGTTCAGGTACTTGATTTGGAGTTTGGATTATCTGTTCAAGCATTTGATTCGGAGGGTTTAAGATGAAATACGGGTCTTCATACGGTGACTCATGTAACCATCCATTTCCATACTCAAACAAATCTCCTTCGTTCCTTGCAGACTTCTGTAATGGGTTAGAAATCCTT